TTCATTATTGCAAACATTTTAAGATATACTTGTTATTCTTAACTCTTACTCTGACCCATAACTATCGTAAAACGCTACGACCGGAAGTAGAAACCTTTCGCGCATGCGGGGTACCGATCGGGTTTCCGGTACGGATCGGGTAGTGACAGTCCCACTTAAATCCTGCTAAATGAAACAACTGCACCACCTGCTGTCTCAAATGTCACCCTGCACTGACTCCAGTAACAGCAAAGGATGCTGGGTAATATTCAGTGTGGTAAAGAGAGGACCTACCTACTTTGTCCTTGACCATAAATGCTGGAGCTGTGACTGTAAACCTGTAAAGAGCCAGCAGACGTCACCCAGAGGTTACAGCTGCTGGGCCCCAGTCTGACTCATCACTGTGAGCCACAGCTTAGCCCGCAATAAACAACCAGACCGCTGAGCAGCTGTTTTCATGCAGCGTTTGAAGAACACAAAGTCTGTATGCTCTGATCTTAGTTCAGTAACACATCATTTATGAAGTTAAATAAAATGTCCCTTACTTTTCCTCTTCTTTGCATCTTTCTCCATTTCTGAGTGTCACACCCTGTGTTTCTCTCCCTCTGAACTACAGCACACATGTTTAGTGTCAAACGTCACATAAGCACTTTGTGTGTTTGCTGATGTTTGTTGAGCTGTTAGAAAGGTTGCTGTTGAACTTCCCTGCTGTTTGCTCCTCTTCTGCAGCGCTAACTGGATGCTGAACAATGCTTTGCGACTTTACATCTGCACCATGAACGCATCAACAGTGAGGGTGTGAGTGGAGTGTCGCTATTTTCTTATTGCTGAGTAAACATCTGTAGAAGAAACGCCAGGCTGCAGTTCACAAAACCTCCTGGACAGCTCCATGTTTCCTCTCTAACATCAGTCTGCGATGGTCTGATGGAGGATTCCAGCTGTTCAGCAGTCCTGGCTCTGCTTCGTCCTGTTGTTGCTTACATGATGCTCCAGATGTTGTCTGCTGGTCAGAGGTCTGGACTGCAGGCGATCCGGTTCAGCGGCCGTGCGGCTGGGACAGATGCAGTCTGCGATTTAGCGTTGTTCTGCTCAAACACGAAGGCCTCCCAGAGACACACGTCAGCACGGAGCAGGTGTCAGAGTAGTGTATAAACACCTGTTTATACCTTTGAGCAGTGATGGAGCCTTTCCAGATGTGCCAGCTGTCAGCTCCGATGCCCCCCATGAGAGCTGCAGGCTTTGACCTGAGCTCTGATATCGTTAGTCTGGAGGATGTGGAGTCCATTTTTGGCTCATAAGTAGAATAAGTCATCATAAATATAAGTAGTAATAAATAACGTTAAATGATTGGTCAAAGCATTAAAATTATGTTTTAAAAACTACAAAAAAAAATCTCCGCCTACGAATCCCAGAATGCCCCTGTGCGAGGAGCAGCCGGCTCCACGTGCTCGGAGGTTTAAACGAGCGGCTGCAGCGCATAGAAGGGGCGGGAAAGTGTGTCACTGGGGCACGAGGCTCTCCCCGCGGTCACATGGTCCCGTTTTCTGCCGCGTGCGGGCACGGCGGCCCCCGCACATTCATCATCATCAGCGTCCTGCTGCGCGCGCGCCTTGTTTCAAAACACACAGGCAGGCAGACAGAGGCGCGCGTGCAGCAGGACGGATCGCTTGGTTCCGCGTGCAGCAGGAGCAGTAGTTTGAATTCACAGAATAAGACCCCGCTTCTTCTTCTGTGGTGGTTTCTTCTCCCACGTCTCCGAGCCTGGGATGCGTGCGCAGCGGTAGCTTTCTGGGACTTTTAAACGAGGGTCGCGTGCGTGACTTTTTCTCGGATGTCACAGTGACCACCGCTGCCATGGACACGAACAACAACAACAACAACCCAGGTAAATACGTCCCCTACTCTGCACCTCACGCTTACATTAGAGCTGATAAGAGCGACGCCGTGCGCGTGCGGCACATTTATTTTGACTTTTAACAGTGTGGGGGTCTCTGCTGCTGCTTCAGAGGTCGAGTTTTAAAAGTTGTCAAATTTCACATGGAGTTTGGCAGCAGCGCGGGGTGAAGGCTGAGACAAGCAGGTTACTGGTCGATGAGTAAACTGTTGGTATCGTTAGTATCGGACCACAGGTCGAAGCTTTGAGCACCTGCGGCTGTGTGGCGCGCGAACCTCTGTTCCGGTGTTTGTGTCCGCGGTACAGGTTCTCTCAGCGAGGGGGCGGGAGCATCGGGTTCAGGTCCAGATCAGGTTATGGACCCCGCATTGCCCTCACTGCAGTCCCCGTGAGCAGGTGTCCGTGGCCGTGTTTCGGGAACAGCGGGTCCCGCTTGGCACATGTCCGGCGGTGGTCACGGGGACCGTGTACGTGACTGCGCCCGTGTGTTCGGGTAAGTGGGTCAGAGTGACAGCGGTCATGTCGGAGGGTGGACAGGTGTCAGGTGGACCCGCAGTAAGGTGTGTGTACGTGCTCGCTCGCTCGCGTCAGTTGCCGGTTCACATGGACCGGCAAACCGAGCCATGTGCGCTATGTTTTCACGGAGCTCCGCGGGCTGTGATTGGCTGCCACTGAGCCTGAGCTCATTGTATAATTCCGCTGCTCCTCCCCCGGCTCCTCCCCCTGTGTGCTCAAAACACGATCACATTTAAAGATTTGCGCACAGTCACGTGGTTTGACGTTTGCTCATTTTCGCTGACGTCAGGAGCCTTTGCTCTCTTCTTCTGCACTTTTATAGTTTGTATTTGTATGTGATCAGATTATTGACCATGGCTGATTCTGATCGATGACCGGGATGAGGATCTTTAGCACACACTGATGGCTCATCGATGATAGTAGTTACAGTCCGGCTCTCACCTGTCCTCACCTGTGAAAGCTGCAGTTTGGGTGTTTTTGTCTCCCCCTGCTGGCGCAGACAAGAACAACACAAACACAGCTGAGCGCTGGTTTCTGTGTGTGGCTTTTATCTGCAGGAGCACAGACTGCACTCAGCTTGTTTCAGGCAGGAGTCACAGAGTTTTATTCAAATGCCACAAAGGATGTTGAGCCGTACACAGAGACACGTCACACACCTCGCCACAGACACCTGCAGCTGACCGCGGTGACGTGGAGCTGCTGGGAGACGCAAGAACACAAAAACATGAATCTGTGTTAAAATAATCCCTCAGGAGTTTTTTCAGACTGCAGGCTTACTGATGTAAATAACGATGATCACATGATGTAATAAAGTGTAAACCGACAAATAAAACTCGACATAAAACCTGAACACAGTGACGAACACGACAGGTGAGACGATGTACCTGTGCAGCTGATTTATTTACATTTCTGGGACAAAAGGAGCCAATCAGAGGGGAGTGAGGTCAAGGAGGGGAGGTGTGAATGAGTGAGATGTGAATGAATGATGTATGTGATTTATGGAAGCGTCTCCATGTCTGCTCGAAGTCCGATATTCCTGATCCAGGATTCCTGCTGTATCCCCAGGATAGAGCGCCGCTCTGCTCGCTCTCACAGATCACCGTGTTTGTGGTTTAAAGCTCATCACAGCGGACACTTACTGACACTACACTACCCATGAGCCTCAGCTGCTGGTGCTGAGCTCAATGATAACAGACATTCGCCGCACTGACGTTCAAAGAGCGTTTGGCTCGTGTGAACTTCCTGTCAGCTCAGAGTTCAGCTAACACGTTTCCCTGCAGCACGCCCACAAACCTCAGACCAACTTTAAAAAACATGGCGGCGTGACGCTTAAACACGTACTTAAAAGGTGATAAAGAGGGTTCTTAGAGAACGTTTAGTAAAACATCACTGCAGCACTGTCAGAGAGACTCTCAGGACACGTCAGCGTTCGACCTCGAGTCGTTAGCCGTTAGCCACTTTGAAATTCCCACGGTGAGCAGAGACCCTGATGAAACGCGTTTACGCTCAGTCAAAGAGGGCGAACATGTGTCAGCAGCTGGATCCTCTCCTCTGGAGGTCAGCACAGTGCCTGAAGGAAGCACAGCGTCTTATTCCAAGCACGGATCGTTTAAAACCTTCATGAGGGCCTGAAGATCATGTGATCTGTCCTGAGACCTCGTGAGCAGCAGAGACGTGCCACGTCACCACCGCGAGCGTCAGCGCTAACGGGAAACTTTATTAGAAAATGATTCCCAGCTGGAGCATGATGCTGTTGTCAGGTGGAGGTGAAATGAAGCTTTCTTATCCCACAGTCTGATAGGAGCCTTTGCAGATTACCCAGAATGCACTTTGTGGAGCTTCCTGCAGGGCACGCTGGTTACTGCTCCTCTGAGGATGTGACTGATGAAGTCAGATGAAGGTTATTCTTCTTCTGCGGTTTCAGCTTTAATTATCTCTGAGTGGCTGTCGCTCACGAGACGAAGCAACTCATCTGCCAATTAGAAGGTTGGTGGTTCAATCCCTGGCTCCTCCAGGCTGGGGCAAGACACCAGCCCCAAAATGTTCTCTGAC